TTTTGCCTACCACAGAGGGCACCAGTTGAGATAAATCAGGCAGTGGAGCTGGGTCTCGCTGTCTAAACTTGAAACTTGTAGAAATGTCCTTGGTGCAGACAGAGAAGCCCACTCTGAGCCAAGCTTTGCAGGCAGCAGTGGAGCAGTCTGTGACATGTTGGTTGAGATACTAAGCTTGTCGCTTAACTCTAGCACATGAACATCTTTTGTTCATGTTCTTCAGTTGTATTTTACATATCTGTTCAGTTCTGGTCTGTTTTACCCCATGTTCTCTATTTTAAACATTGCTGGTGTGCCAGGGTCTTCCCAGCTTCATGAAGATGGTTACTTGGCTATTGACAACATTCCCCTCTCACCATCTTTCTTTTCTTCTGTTCTTTTAAAAGACCTGTATCAACTTGACTTCAAATTCTTCTCATATTAAGAGTTCAAAATAGAAAATTCTGACTTCTTTTGCTTGTCATTATCTTCCTAAAAATAAGTCAGGATGAGGGTACAATAACAGATTATAGAATAGAGAGAAAGAGACACAGCAACAGGGAGAAAAGTAAAGGAATATGTGGTCTGTGTTTATCTCCTTTGCTGAGGACTTGAACATTTATCATTTTCGGGGCTTTGATGGTTTTTTGCCATCTTCAAAGTGTTCCTGATCTCTCTGTTCTAACAAAAATGTGCAAGTTTACTCTGTTGAAAATTAGACCTGATTAAAAAAATTGCAGTTGTAATGTGTATCCTTCTGAGATGGCAGATTATGAAAAATGAGTTTGAAAAATGGATCCCATTGTGAAATTCACATTTGGATGATAACACATGTAAACCACACAACAATTTTGTGTCTTCCGTTTACTACAGTGTGGTTGCCTGCCAAATGAAAAGTAATAAATTACGAGCAATTCTTGTGGTCCTGGAACTATTCAGTATCTTGACTCTGATGGTGGTTATAAAATTGTGTCAAACTTAATAAACATACACAGACACACACAAATGAATACAAATAAAACTGAGGGACTCTGAATAAAATTACTGAATTGTATAATGTCAATGTTCTTATTGAGATATTGTATTATTGCTTGTAAAATGTTAACGTTGGAATAAACTGGAAGAAAGCATACAAGGGATCTCTATTATTTCTTCTAACTGCATGAGAATCTATAATTATATCAATAAAATTTTCAATTTAGAAAAGACTTGCTGTGAGATCTCCCCCTAGTTTCAGTATTACATTATGATGAGTTTTGCTTCAAAAAAATAGAGCAAATTACTTTAAAATTAGTATATGAGACTATAGTTGCAAAGGAAAACCATCTCTGGAAATTTTAGCTAACTAATTTGCTTATAAGGAGAATGCTATCTTAATCTAGCAGTTTCTTGGAAGGAGATTTAGTTTAAAAGATTCAGAGTAATAAAAGCAATTTGGAAATAATGCATAAAGATGTACTTGCAGTAAATTTTAAAATGATATGCTATGCATTTTCATATGTGAGACTTTAAATGAAAACTGTTAAATAGTAGGCACTGATATAATTACATGATTATTTAGAGAGTAGATATGTACTCATTATGTTTTAAAATCTATAAAACATGAGTTCTTTCCTTGCATATACAGAATGTAACCTGAACATACAAAATCAAGTAACAATTGAAGTAATAAAAACACTAAGCTTACATTCTAAGTCATTGCTTGTCTTTGAATGTTTGTGTGTATGTGTGTGGCTACATTTTTATTCTGGTACTCTTTTTTTAGTTCTAAGTATTATCTGAACCTTTCTTTTGAAAATGTCTTGGACTTTCTGACACATTAATTTGGATACCATCAGGGTAGTGATGTGTTAGTTTTTTTGAGGAGGGTAAAATAATCAAAATCTACCCAGTAAAGTTTGGTAAATAAAATGAGAATCATATTATTTTGGGTCAATGACAAATTGTTCCTGTAAAGCGATGCATGTAATTTTCTTACATGGTTTATTTACTGGTTCTGAAAAAGAGTAAGAAATGTTTAGATCTTGAAATCATTAGCATAGATGACACTCATTTCCTTGGTTATGTGTGTTGTAAAGCCAGTTGCTTGACTCTGAGCAAACCTTATATAATGTATGATTTAACATCCTACATAGAAACCAATTAAACAACATATTGGCTGAATACCTTTTATATTACAAATGATGAAAGAATGGAGGGAAGGGATATTAGATATGTGGTTTTTTTTTTAAAGATTTATTTATTTATTTATACAAGAACCAGGGTACATGCCGGATGCGCGGGAGGGTGAGAGGATTCACCAGAGAGAGAGCGGGAAAAAGAACAGGCAGACTGATGAAATATACTGCTGAGGGGAGCTGTGGGAGAGACAGGAGAGGTCTGTGGTGCCATGTGGAATTCTCGCCGGCCAGTGGGGATCAAATCAGTACTGCAGAGGCTGTGGACGGCTTCATAGTGTGGCACTCAACTGCCTGTGCTACCAAGGGAGGCCCTAGATATGTTTTTTAACTCAATGAAACAACTCCATTCCATAGGTTTTATTTACTTCCTATACTTAATTACTTTTGGATAGATCTACTTGACTCATTATATTGAGAGATGGGTGATTATTGTGAAAAGAATACTGGGATGAGCAGATAGAAAGGAGTGTCTAGGAGGTGTGTGTGCAGCTGGGTCCTGTGGACCACATTTGCTGAGTGTGACAAAGTCTTGAGAACACTGAGCAGGGGACATTCAGCCAATTCTAGGACAAACTGATAAAGAATAGTAGAACTCTTGCTCTGGACATTCTGAGATGTCCTCATTCACACTAAGATGCTTCTTGAGTCCTTTTTCCATAAGGAGGCTCTGTTCTCCTATTTCTTTTCTGAGGATGTTCAAACAAATTCTGTGCTTCCTCATCATTCAATTGTGGTTCTATGTCAAGTTCAAGAAATCAGGGAATTTTATAGAGGTTCATGTGTTGTGCTTGAGAATGAATCTGTAGATTCCGAATGAAGGGGGATTATATTTTAGCTACATAGGTTTCCTAAATTACTAAAAATTTCCACTCTGGGTCTACAGATTGTGGGTTGTGATCAAGTTACTGAATATCCATATTGCCTCCCCAATCAATTTATTTCTGAATGTTGATATCTTTGATTGAGCTTTCCCAGCGATTTTATTTATTTTTATTTTGAAAATATTTTTTATTGCGTTAATATTGGTTTATATTGTTGTTTCCATTATAGGAGTGCAGGATTACCCCCTTTGGGCAATGTTGCCCACCACCAAAGAACCCAGAGTCCAACACCATAGCCCCTGTGTACTGTGCTATTACTCTAGCTTGCCTGTTGAAGGATGGCTCTTTGCTATTTAAAGAACAACTGAGGTCTACAGAGTACAGAAATAAATATTATATCAATATCAAACATTGCATATATAGAAAAATCTCCAAACAAGAAATGAGGCTGGGGTTGGTGGGGAGGGGACGAAGAATGCATTATCTAAATAGTAATGGGTTAAAAGAAAAAGAAGGGAATCAAGGGGAAAAAAAGGATAATTGGAGTAAATTGTATTTCTTACTTTTCATGTTTTTTTATCTCTAGGTTTTGTGGTATGCAGTTGCATGATAAAAAGTTCCCCTTTATTCTTCCTCTGTTGGACCTTGTAATTTGGGAAAAACTCCACTTAAAAACTGATGCCCCTTTGGGCCTCCCCTGGTGGCACAGGCGGTTGAGTGCAGCGCTGTGAGGCTGTCCTCAGCCTCTGCAGCGCCTGTTCAATCCCGGCAGGCAGGTGAGGGTCCCACATGGTACAGCAGACCTCTCCTGTCTCGCCCGCTGCTCCCCTCAGCAGTGTATTTCGTCAGTCTGCCTCTTCTGTTCCCCACTGTCTCTGGTGAGTCCTCTCACCCTCCCATGCATCTGGCTTGCACCCCAGTTCTTGTGTAAATAAAGAAATCAATCTTTAAAAAAAAATAAAGTGATGCCCCTTTGCTGTGTTTTGGTAGAATAATCTTATTCTTGAATTCAATTAGCCTGAATATAAGGTTTACATTCAAATAAACTTATAAAATACTCTTTCTTTCAAATTTGCCTCTGTAGCCTCATCCCTCATCATATGTCAAGATTAATTCAGTCATAGTGGATACAAGGCTTGTTCTTTTCATAAGAAAGAAAGCATTGTTTTCTTATAAAGTGAGTAAAAACTGCTGAAAGATGGGGCTTCGGTATCAAGCTTTTATCTTGAGTTCCTGGGAGAGTTGAGGTGTTAAGAGATATTATCCATCCTTTTTCCAGATATTTTTAAAGATCCCTAGGCCTCCCATATGCTGGAAGGTGAGAGACGATTTAAAGTCTTTCTGAGAATGATTCCTCACATTAATGTGGTTTTCTATTATTAATACAATACTTATTTTTCCAACATCTGTGACATGTTTTTTTTTTCCTTTAAGGTAATGAACATAGGTAACTCCTTTAAGGAAACAGAATAGTTAAGCACAGATAAGACCAGATTTCTCACACTTAGCTCCAAGGGTTCAAATTCTTTCTCTGATTTCCCTTTTTGTTTTTCTGAGAAAAGTGTTATATGCTTACTGAGACTAAAGAAATTCCACTTTGAAGAAAGACTGTAACATTTTAGCTGCTACAGTCTTTCTTATTAGTTATTATTTATAGCCAGGAGACATAGTTTTCTCTCTCAAATTTACCTATTGCCAAGGGTGCAAAGGTCTCTTTTGAAGACGCAGAAGAAGCAATGAATCCCCTTTGGCAGTAGAGAACCTTTCTAAGTATGGAATGTTGGCTTCACAAGCAAAAGATTTTTGCCTCTTTTGGTTCGTTGTTGTATCCTGACATCTAGAAGAGTCTGTTACACAGTAGATCCTCAGTGAATATCTGTGAGTTCTTGAGAAAAACTGTAGGTTGTGATTTACTGGAGTTTACCTCCAACAACCTTTACATGTGAGAAAAACTGAGTTGTCAATGAGTTGCATGAATGACTTTCTGTTCATTCTAAGAGTTTATCTCACTTTCTTCCAGGCTCAATACCTGAGGGAGCAGAACTTTGTGGCCTACATCCCCAAATCCTGCAATTCTTCAAGGGACCATATTTGAGAATTCCAAAAACCTGAGTGGCTACCTCAACCCTGCAGAAAAATGCCAGTCAGCTGACGGGCCATTCCCAGGGCCACTGGGTCCTGGCCAGGTGTGGAAGCCTTACTCAGATTCATCAAATGCTTGCTTGCATAATTTTTGAATGCCACAGACATGGTTAATAAAGTATGAAACAGTGACCAATGGTTACATTTAGAGTGCTTGTTTCATCACAAAAAAACTCAAAATATGTGATGATAAGTTGGAATGTGTAAAGAAAAGCTAAGAAAGTAGATTTCTGATAAGACCAGCATGTGACTTGTATAACAGCTCTGAATTACAGTCTGAAGGATGGAATGTTGACAGTTCTTTCTTTTTTACTTGTGATCGCTAGGATTTTATTTCCCCCTGTAACAGGTCAGTTTTGAGCCAATCTTAAGATGAAAAAATACTTTGAAGGACTATGCATGATGTGGAATATATCTCCCTTGTTATCAATGGGGGTTCCTCTGCTTTCAGGGTGGATAGAGATGATCTCCATAGCTTTGGACATAATAGCTTATGACAGATAGGCTGAAATAATTCCTTTTTAGCCATGCGGTTGTCTGTATATCTGCTTATTTGGTCATCCAAAGTGATGACATTTAAGGTATAGTTGATGCACTGTTTATCTTAAAGAAACATTTTAAAATTAATTCTTCAGACCTGTGCAATATTTTATCTTTTCAGTTTAATAATATCCAAATGTGCTTTCAGTTGCTTTTGTGAAGCCAAAAACACATGTGTGTTTCTTCATAAATCAGTCAGTTAGCTTTGAAAATATAGTTATTTCAAGTATGCAGTGAAGGCCCTCAAAACACAATTATTAAATCAGCATGAGGAGATGAGTTTGCTTAGTTTTGGATTTTTAATAGACTTCACTCTTATTTAGTAAAAACAGAAATATACTGTAGAACTTTCTGGTTAAGAGTCAAATTTTTTCTTTTCTATTATTTTAGATCCTATAATTTCTATCTGATGTTCAGATGGAACATATACTTTCATAGTATTGAGGAAATTATTGGAAAATCTAATATCCAAGAACCGACTCTTTTGACTTCTTAGGTAAGTATGTTGGCACCTGAACTTAAAATTTCAAATTCTGATTTTGTAAGAAATTTTTGTGTACTTCTAATGATGATAGTATTATATTTGTGTTTGGGGTTTGATTTATGATAAAAACACATAAGACATATATGGAAATAAAACAAATAATTGGAAAGTTATTTCAAAGTGTACATCAAATTCAACACTTTGTTATGTCAGTTTTATCTCTAAATATTTTTTACATTTCTTCATTTATTTATTTATCATTTTATTTATTTATTTATTTATTTATTCATTTATTCATTTATTTATTTATCAGCCCAGTTCAGGTCATCATCATTTTTTTTATTATCCACACTGTAGGAAAAGAATCCCTTCCACAACCCATAGGATAGTGTTTTTTTTAAATATATATATAAAAAACTATATATATATATATAACATATACATATAGGTGTATATATATATATATATAGTGTACTAGGAGTACTACTGATTTTTCACTTTCATGCTTTATTTTCCAAATGTTCTACACTAAGCATGCATTGTTTTTAAAAGATTTTATTAAGTACATTCTCATTTAAAAAACTTCAAGTAATTCAGAAAAGTGAAGATGAGAAAAAAATATCACCTAAAACCCTATTCTTTCAAAATAATCATCACCAAATAAGAAGAATACAACACCAACCTCTCTCTTTCTCTCCATGTAGACATATTCACACAGAAACAGACATATCCACTGAAGATGAAGTATTGGCAAAAATTAAGGTTTTATCAGTAAAAGATACTTTATAAATATAGGGCCAGACAATACATGCTTTTTAATAGAGGATTAAAATTAACAACACTTTGGTAATTTGTATCCCCCTAAATTAAACCTTGTTAAAAATGCAGTGTGTCAACTACTGACACAGAAACATTGCTTGCTGTAGAATTTTACATTATGGATTTAGACCCAGATTGTCTGCAGTTTTTCCCTCTACAGCTTTGGCCCACAACCCCATCTTTGTGAGTTTCAGAAGAAACTGCTAACATAGCACTTTTGTGCTTTAAAGACACTGTGGCTTATCAGAGAGGCAGAGACAGACTGTGTCTTGTTCACCTTGGTGATGAATCTATAGAAACATGTCAACTGCTTTCTTAATTTTCCTGGACAATTTTTATATTTACTCCACTGTCAGTGGGGTAGACAGACCATGTCTTACCAAACACTCTGAACTCCTTATGTAAACTTTTCTGGAAAAAAAAAGAAGCATAAAAATATCTAAGACTCTTCAAATTATAAAGACCAGACCAAATAAGGCAGAGAGTAAACAGAGGTATTTACAGTTTAAAGATTTCTGGATTCAGTGGCTTGTGGGCTTAAAGTCCCAAAGAATTCAAACCAGATGTACTGAGAATCCAGTTAATGGGACAATTGGTAGAAGTTTCCTCTCTTTTGTTTTTTATTTGTTATTAATTTTCATGGAACTTTCTCCTACCATCTTTCCCACCTGAAAGCCAAAATCATCTTTGACTCATGTAGAGTGCTGAAAGTAGCAAGGGTCAAATCTTTACTAATATACACAGCTGGACTTGCATGTCCTTTTTCTGTGAACTAGTATCAAATGTGAGTCTGAGTGTCACTTAAACTCATTGCTGCTTCGTTTCCTCACTGGATAACATGGAAATAACAGAATCTCACTTTGGTAATTTTCATGAGACTTTATGTTACAGTAGATACTTGTCAAAGGCTCATTTCCTTTCCTGTTTTTTTTTAATCATCAAATTTAATTCTTTTTGAAGGGAAGGGGCCTTATAGGTTTTAAATAGATTTCTTATGAACAACTTATTGCCAAATTAAAAATGAGATCTAAATTTTTTTCAAATTGGTGATTTTTATCCATTATATTTTGTATGACTTCTTTTAAGCTGGATGTTTTCAGCATTTGATTTTATTTTTTATAGTCTTTCTACTTTCACTTTTTTTTTTCTCTTTCTTTTTTTGGCTACATTTTGGTTAAGAGATTCTTCTTTCTTCCTATTTTGTTTACAAGTTATAAATACTTTTCCTATCCATTGCATAGTCTCACATAACTTTTTTTTTCACATTGTTGTTGGTATTTTGGAAATACAGGCATTGCCCAGGGAGAACAGAGATGAATCTGGGTTTTGTTAAGACAAAATGCAACTATATCCAAGATCTTTCTTCAGTTATAAATATCTAATGCATCACCACCAAATCACTCATAATCCACCACCATAGACCATGGTAATTCCTCCTATCCTTATTCTCTCTTCCTTCCTACCCTCTCCCTTAATTCCTACACTTTGGAGTATATAAATTATTTTCATGAGAAATTTTTTTTCAGGACAAGAATATATTTCTTTGTCATCACTTTCGACAATGGATGGATTGATTTATTTATTACTGTTTATTACTATTTATTACTTTTTTTATTGAGGTAACATTGTTATACAATCCTGCATATGCAAATGATTTAGGGTTATAGGCTCACACCTATTCAGAAGAATGTGACTGTACCACACCCACCTCCAAGGCATCCACAGTCCTCCACTATAGTCCACTGACACCCCACCCCCCCAAGTTTGCTTCTCTGTCTACCTATTTGTAGGTCTTGATATAACTCCTTTGGGTTGACATCACATCTTGCGTACTGTCCTCTATACAGCATGTAAAACTCAAGCCCCCAAAGATGGCTTCAGATGCCTGATCACAATGTAGCTGCAGTGATAGCTCATCATTCAAGATTTAATCCTCTTTTTATTTTTTGGCACATGAAATTCCCTACCTACTTAAAAAGCTAATTTTACTATTATTTCTAGCTCAGGTATACATTTAAAATAATTTAAAATATTTATTTAATATGCTTATTTATTTTATATAAGAATTTTCCAGGACATTTATTCTGCTGTATTATCCAAAATGGAACCGAATACATGATATTCTCTTAATTAGTCTCTCCCTGACTGTTAACCTCTTTTCAATCCATTTTCCACCTGATGGTCTATCCAATATTAAAATGCAAATATTACGTCACTTCCCTGGTAAAAATCCTTCAATATCTTCCATGGGTTAAATTGTGTATTCAAGTTGTAACCGTAGTAGCTATGGCTATAACCGTAATTGGCTTTGGGCTCTTAGCAGATACAATCAAGGTAAAGTGAAGCAGAGCTGTAGTGAAGGTAATATGACTATAATCATACTGGATTAAGCTGGGCCCCTCTGGTTCTTGTATAAGAGGTTAAATCTGGGGCCTCCCTGCTGGTGGAGGGGTTCAGTTTCAGCACAATCACCACTACAGCCTGTGTTAGATTCCCAGCCAGGGAGTTAACCCACATATGGTGCAGTAGACCTACCTCTCTGTCTTGCCAATTGCTGCCCTCAGCAGTGTATTTCAGTAGATCCTCCTGTTCTGTTCCCTACTCTGCCTCCGGTGAATCCTCTCACCTCCTTCCCCTACCCTTGCCCGCTGCAACTCTGGTCTATACCCAGTTCTTGTATGCATAAACAAATAAATAAATTTTTTTTTTAAAGAGGTAAATCTGAACAGAGGCACTCAGGAAGAAGTCATGTGATGTTGAAAGCAGAGATTGGAGTTATTTTGCCACAAGTCAGGGAAAACCAAGCCAGTTTCAACCTCTGAGGCCCTAAGTAGGAACCACTATGCTATTACCTTGATTTTTGGACTTCTGACTTTCAAAACTGTGAAAGATTAAATTCTTATTATTTTAAGCTCCCAGTTCATGATAGTCTGTTATGGTCACTGTAGGAAACTAACAAACTGGTAAATAGATAGACCAGTGAAAACTAGGACAGCAACCCTGGGAAAACTGGAAATAAATATTTCCAGAAATGAAAGGAAAAAAAATGGTTGACATTGCAGGACAAACAATCTTCCCTTTATAATTAGTATAAGATAAAAAGATCCTTAGCATGGTTTGCTCTGCGTTTTTGGTCTTTTGGTCTTTTGTTTCCAGGAAAAAAAAAAAAGGCTGGTTGACATCACAGGACAAATACTCTCCCCTTTATAATTAATACAAAATAAAAAGATCCTTAGTGTGTTTTTCTGTGCCCTTTTTGTCTTTCAATCTTTATGCTTCTAGCTTCCTGTTGCTTCTTTGCTTTCACTGGCCTTGCTGTGGTTCATTGAACAAGCCAAGTTCTTGTTTGACTCAGAGATTTTGTGTATGCTGATCTTGCTGCCTAGGAGAAACTTTCACCTAGGTTTTGCTTGGATAAATACTACTCATCCTGTCAAATGCTTACTCCTCAAAGACCTCTTCCATACCATTTCTCTCCCATCAGCCATTTGAACTTCTTCCCTTAGTTGTATCTTCTCATGCGCATTCTCTGCTTACTAGCATGGACTGTGACTATAAGATGAATGTTATTCTATGATTATTATTTTTTTTGATGTCTGTCTTCCCTACTAGTCTGTGTGCTCCATTAGGCAGCAAGGATGCTTATTTTTCTCTTCTCTATTTCCCTAGTTACCAGCACATGCAATAAATATTTTTGGATAAATTAAAACACATTTTAAGACATGCAATTCGACGGATGGACACTAAGAGCAAATACCAATTTTTCAAATAGTTTTTTTTTTAATTAGAGCCAGAGCATTAGGTAAGTTGTTTCAATCATTTTTACTTATGTAGCTATTCTGACAGGTTAATCATAAATGTCACATATTAAAAGAGTATCCACACTTTATTCACTCAATCTCATTTTGAAATACTATATATTGGTACTGATTTGTTATATATTAGTACAATTAATGTTTTTCACCAGTTGCATAACGACTACCTTTTAGATATTTAAACTAAGTTGGTTCATTGTTTAATCTCAGTACTTTGCTTCCATCAAGAATGCAGAAACACTCACTGAAGGTGCTCTGAAGCAGGTACTTTCTTTAAAATATGAATATGAATTTGTTGTTTTGTGTTTCATCACAGGTCA